CCTTTTTAAAGAACTAGACCTCTTTATTCAAGAAAGTAGAATTAAGTTCAAAAAAAGATGGACAAATGGAGTGATCAGTTTAATGGTTGCAAAGTCTCAGATCAAAATGTTGTTATTTTTAATCGAAAAAAGAGTTATTACAACTGCAAACATCAACCATTTAATTAAAATTGGAGTCGAAAACAATTTACCATCAATCATCGATTTAGTTTTAATGATTGGTCCCTTCAAAAACAATGGCTTTAAAAATCTATACAACTTGTCAAATATATCTTTATCAAGCTATTTAAATGAAGCCCATTATTTAATTTTTTATTACACTATCAAAAGAGGCGAATTATTAAAAAATCATTATGCAAACAAGGAAAAGCTATTAAGAGACTCTATGTTAATAATTAAATACTTGGTTGAAATCAATTACCAGTACCATAATCAGCATTCAGATAATTTTAGCTTTATTCCTGATACCAAAGAACAACTAATTATTAAATATTCAAATTTAGAACCAATTCTAAAAACCTATATAAAAAATGTAGGATTATTAAACTCAAGCTCTGTTTTTTTCATAAATAAAAACATGTCAAATAACAATATCATTCAATTGGTGGATACCAACAATATAGATCCGCTTAACCATAGTAATAATATTTTCAAATTAAACTTTGATAGTTTATAAATAGATATAAATAAAAACAAAATAAATATAAAATAATAAATTTTTAAATTTTAATAAAATTATTGTTTTAGTTTTGATTATATATAAAATTTTAAATATATTAATCTATTTTATAAATAATATTACCTAACTATATAATTAGTGATATTATTAAATTTATAATTAATCATATACCAATATAAACTAAAATATGGAAATATGTATAGAACAACTAGAGACTATATAAATAACCATTCAGAAATAATAACGCTTTTCACCCCACAATAAAACAATTAAAAATATAACTTTTAGATGCGACAATAATGCATACGGGACCATTCTTGAAACATTGGAACTATTAAATTCAAACTCAAATGTAGATTTATTTTCATTAACCTTTTATATTACCCAACAAAAAGTGGGATTCAATGCTATATATGACTACCTATCAAATAAATTTTTGCACCAATCAATTAAAGAATTTAATTTTTATTTAACAAGGAAAATCATAATAGATAAAGATATATCAAATGTTTTTTTAATAAATAATTCAGAAACAATTGTTAATTTATTTGGTGGTGATAATATTTTTTAAAAAATAAAAGAAGTTATGAATTCCCCCAAAACTCAAAAAAAATAAAAAAATAAAAAACTTTTTTTTTTTTTTTCCCATATTATTTTTTGATGATTTTTGTATAAATTGGTTATTTTGGGTTTTTTTTGATTTTTTTTACACATTAAATTATTTTTTTTAATAATTTTGATATTATTATTCATTGTAACATCAATGTTATTATTTCTAATCCCTAAATAACAATTAACAAAAAATAGTATAATTATAAATCTTTCTCTTTCGGTAAAACCATGTTCTCAATTTAATGTCATACAATAATTATTATCTCTTTCAGTATAGGTTCTTTCTTTATATTATTAAGGGTAACTATAGTGTTAATATTTAAATATATTTTAAATTTAAATATAAAAGAAACTAATATTCAATTCATATTTAGTTTAATTCTTTTTCTTTCAAGCTCAACACGTTCAATTATAAGTCT